TAATTAAGCGTTATTAAACAAAGTATCTTTTAGAATCGCAAACTCATTCGCATCGAATTGTTTATACAGCTAAAGATCCAGCTTGACCGTTTAGGACCTTTATTTCCTATTTGTTAATTAATTCGTTCTATCATCAATAGCTACATTATTGCATAATTGTATAACGTTTACTCCGGATTAGTCAATAATTTTTTACCTCCGGCGACTCGTCCGGCACTTTTCCCATCCAGCTGAGCGACAAGATATTGCAGTCGCACTTGGCGTTGTTGTTCTTCTCGAAATGCAGATGCATGGTTGCAACGCGATCGGATTCCCGTCGGCAGGTCCATCAATCTATCGAACGCCGGCACCTTTTCCCGCAGTCCCGACTCCGTGCCTCGCAGTCGGATTCCACGTCGCTTCCTCCGCGAGCATTCTCGCGCCGTGCACGCTTCTTCGTTTCGTCGACGGCGACGGATCCGTGATCGATAATCGAATCACGCTCACACGTCAACGGGCTCGCACGCGACCAGCGTTCCGCGCTCCACGAACCCTCATGTGACCACCCTCGTGACTTGAAAATCAGGGCGATCCTCTTCCGAGAGCTCCGCGTCCCTCGGGGGTGGAAGGCGCGGAGTAGCGCTCACTGCGCGATCTTCTACTCTCACGACGTCAACCAGCGTCGGATATTACATTCCGGCCGCACGATCGGGAGGAATCAGCGAAATATCGTGTGATCGCCGGGAGGTACCTTGGTCGTCCTTGGCGTATCTCTTATCACCGCCGTTCGCCAACCCCGATCATTTGTTTCTTCCCGCGGCCGCCATTTTGCCGCCCGAGACGCTACTCCACCTTTCAGAATGCGATCCCCGTGCCGCGCCACGCCGCGCCGGGCCGGGGGTGCGCGGTTACGTGCGGGTGGACGTTTGTCTCGCGGAACCGACGCGAGCCGCGAGCGTGCCGTGCGTTCGACTGAAAGCTCGGCTGCTCGGCTGCTCGGCTGCGCGGAGTGGAGGCAGTGGAGCCGGAGCGCGCGGGCCTCCGCCGGCCGCGCTAGCTCTTGCTTCCGTCCGTCGCGTTCGCGCGACGAGCGTATTGATTGGAGTCAGCCGTTCCATTCCGTGTGGTCCGCGGCTGCCTCGTGCTCCCCGCCGCATCACTAAATTCGCCGCGAGCTTTTCCGCGCCTCGCCGCGACGCGACGCGGCGACGCGCTATGGAACCGGTGGAGCCGCCCCTTTCTGCAAATGCTTGTACATGAAAAAAGAAATTATTAATATTTTTTGCAAGGAAAGACATGTCGATACATTTTTTAACACATTGCTTATAAATTGAATTCTATATTACTAATGATATTTTCTGATCTAAAATTTTATTTAATTACGCGGATGATTGATATTCTTTAAATAATTATTCTTTATATTCGCATTCAATATATTTTATCAATCTGTTTTTATTTGTTGTACACAATAACTTTACGTAATTAAATAAAATTTAGATCAGAAACTATCATACTCATATATGTAGATTTCATTTTGTAAGCGGTGTGTATTTAAAAACGTATTAGTACATAAGTTCTTTTCTTACATAAAATATTAATAATTTCTTTTTTTATATCGATACCGATAGAAATGATTTTGTTTTGATGTAACAACTTTACGCGCACTGTACTCATTTTCTAGAGGGTGAATTTCACGCCACTTTGGATGCATCGAGTGAACGATGCTCTCATTGTTTGCAGCGTATGCTCGTCAATTTTTTCCTTTTTTTCGCGCCACCGATGCGCGAACATCTGCGACTAAAGTGCAAAAAATTTACGTAATGATTAACGTAATAAATTATGTAAATCTTTAAAGGGATTCTAGTGTGTATATATATATATATATATGCTGTCACATCTGTTTTACCGACAAAAGTATCAAGTTGTTAGATGAATGAAGTATATCACAAAATTAAAGATCCTTTTTCCATAATTAAAATATACATGCTAATGTATCTGGCTCTGGTCTACTTTGCATTAAAAACAGGAAAAAAAAAATTAAGAAATTATAAATTTTCTTATCAACACTTTTACTTTAATATGACGATCAAAGCTGTCAATAATAATCAAATTACAGAAACATTTATTTCATAAAATAGTTATATAGGCCATATGCACGAAATAAAGGCAGAACCAAATGTAAAATAAATAAACGAGTAATGGTGAATCGTAAAATTTAGTAAAAGCTTAATTAAAAATATTATTTCTTTTGACAAATCGTGTGTAAACGTATGATATTGATATGATTAGTATATAGTGATGTGTTTATGTCTCGTAAATCATGTATGTGTAAGTCGCATTTAATTGATTAAACAGCAATTTCGTCAATGTTTAATCGTCCCGTCAGCATCCCCCCCCTTTAAAAAGCTATTTCTTATAAATTAAAATAAATTTTATTTCGGAAAAATTTATTTTACTTTTCTCTTATTATGACTATGTATATGAATTTTATATTATATTACTAATTATACAATATATTACTACGTATATTGTGTGCGTGCGTGTGTGTGTGTTTAATTTGATCATAATTTATGACAAGTTCCACTTTTTGTGAAAAGTATATAAAGTGATCAGGAGGTCTATTCTTGAAAAGAAACGTATACGAAAGTCTAGGGAAATACTACAATATACGTAACGTTACGTATACTAAGGCTGCGTTCCACTTAACGCTCACAACGCTCGTGGAATCATTTCATCCTTGTCGTTTATCAAATGTTAAACAAGGACAAACGATGCTCGCGAGCGTTGCGAGCGTTAAGTAGAAAGCAGCCTATGTATCAATATATGATCAACGTTAAGTTGATCTGCATCTTTTTCCTTCTTTTCTATTTTTATCACAATAGATTCCGCAAATACACTTTAAAAAATCACTTTTTGCAATCTTCGCTCAACTCAAGTATCTAGCTCACGTCTTTAGCTCACGTTGAAGTGATCACTCACTGCCTTTGTTAAGGAATCGGACAGGATTTCGAATTTTTTTTGTGTGAGGATATACGTTACAATAGAGAAGCAGTTTGGAAGGGAGGTCAAAAACTGTTACTTGAGGACATTAGATATACAAACATAAGGGTCGGAGCAGTGAGTAACTTAACGTTGATTGTGAGTGAAAAATTACGGACCGAATAAAATTACGATAAAAAAAATATTTCTTGTATTAAATAATAACTATGTTAAAAGTGGCATTTTATTAGTTTTATATCGGGTACAACATATGAAATAATAAGATTGTTAATTGAATAAAAATTATGTTCAGTAAACAAAAATCACAATTGTTAATAAAATTAATTTAATTTTAAATAATAATGTAATACATATTTAACATAATAATATAATAAATAAATATTATCTAGAAAAAAAGTAACAAGCAGGAAAATCGAATCTGTCGACAGATTGGTAATCCGGCACCTAGCGCCTGAGCTACGTAACCTTGTCGATAATCGGTCTAACGCGGCCGGTATATAAAAATGCTGTAAACTTTAAACCGGTTTTTCTCGAAAACGGCTAAATATGGCATCCTATCCCTTTACTCAAGTATTATTCTATTAGAATACTTAAACATATATAATTGTCTTTTCAAAATCGTTGTTCCAAGATCCGCGACCTCTCTTTGTTAGATAAACATATTCATGCCAATATCGATTGAAAAAGATTATACGAAATATGAAAAGTAGGTCGTGAAACATGCTCTTTATAATATTTGGTATGTTAATAGCTAAGGTCTGTATTTCGATGCTTACTATAAAACCGGGCAAATAATCAATGTTCCCTGGCGGTCATGTGGATGATATAGATTATAATTTATAATATTCTCATATGCGTAAAAATTGCAAATAAATATTCCTCTTACACTTGGGGATAAGATGACAATAAATACAAAACACAATTTTTCCTGCTTGAAATCGTCATTAAAATAATTTTATGAAATAAAATTTTGGATGCTTTATATAATCGAAATATTTTAAGTTAATGAAATGCTGTTTAAACGAATAAAAATATATCCAAATTACTCTCTTTCATATTTCTTCAATTTATGTTTTATCATACCTTTATGTGTTTTTATAGTTTAAACTCTTCATTATGGACTGTAAACAAGTAAAATATGCAAGTTTAAGACCCGTATTCATAGTCGGGCCTTATATTTAAGGTTTCCTTAAATTTATCTTTAGATGCTCTACGAATTATTTCATTGGCTACTGAGCATCTAAAGATAAATTTAAGGAAGCCTTAAGTACAAGGTCTGACTATGAATACGGGCATATATTGCATCGCATAATTTAATTGTTTGTAACATCTTCTCCCATAAGAGGTGGCATCTTATCCACACATATAGGGGGAAGATGTCACTTTTGCAAGGTATGATATATCAATTTTTTCCAATAATACGGAATATTAAACGTTAAATTTATAAATTTATAAATTTGTATAAATAACAAAAGATGTCTAGAATATTAATATTTTTTCGTAACTTAATTCAATAACATTAAGAAGTTATTTAAGAATAAAGGCTTAAGTGTGGCGTCTTTCCCCTCCCCCCTAATTACCTTACATGTGATTGGAATATTATAGTGAACGTTAATTAAAGTTAATATTAACACATGACTGCCATTCTTGTCCAAAAGGAGAAAAATACGGGATTCGAAAGGATATATTTCCATATCAGTTTATTATTAGTCAGTTTTCAGAATACAATTAACAATATTTGTTTAGTTTTTAAGATTACATTTATCGAATTGCAACATTTATAGATAATCTGCGACAGTAGATGTTCTCAGGATCGCAAGAAGACCAGCTTCCAACAAATACCGTATACCATTTGTCTCAATATCAGCTCACGTTACAATACATATTATGTACAAAGCATATAGCAAGTAAATGAAAATAATTAGTTTTAAATCGTGTCATATAACAAAGGAAATTCAAACATTATTGTGTTTGAGATATATATAGCAAATAGAAAATGATTTACATCGATGTTTGCCATATACGCTAATCTGTTATCTGCGCATTAGGAAGAAAATTATAAGATATATAGCGACTCATTCAAATTGCATTATTTTAATTTAAGCTGACAATATATTCTGGCACAAATCAGATTTTGATAAGACCAATGACACTTTCCTGGTTCACTTGTTCAAGGTTTGGCAATCCAAGATCCTTTGAGCTTCCATCTGCAAATAACAATAAATGAATCAAATTTCATAAATCGTGAATGACAATGCATGTTGCTCTTACAATCGTTCTAATAAATACTTGAAACAATACAGTATTGGAAACCGATGTTGAATACAATATCTAGATACTTTAGCTATGCCTATGTAGGATTCACACTGCGGACGACATCCGATGTCTAATAGAAGAATTTGTTTCCTGAGGCCTGTTACAACAATAGAGTCGCAATTCGTAAACCGTAAGAAATTGGCCAATCACAGTTGAATATGACAAAAATAATCGACTATGATTGATTAATTTTTTACGGTTTACGACTTGCGATCCTATTATAGAACAGGCATACATTAGAGGCCTAAGGGTGCGTTCCGTTTCTTGCATGATGTGCATAATGCATCATTTATCCTTGTTTAATATTCGGTGAATAACAAGGGTAAAAGATGCATCATGCGCATCATGCGTGAAACGGAACGCAGCCCTAGATAATAGAGAGGCGTCAGGTGAGAAAATGGTCTGATTGGCCCGCTAAATCACGTGATTCAGCGCTATTTTCTTTCATACTATGGTATGTTGTAATATTAGGTTAATGTAGCTTGATATAATAGTTATGATATTCCAATATCATATCTGAGTTATGATTAACGATAATAATGTTGTGATATTCCGCAATATAAATTTACTTGTTAATAGGTTATATAGTCAAACATAACAAAGGATAAATATTAACTGTGATGTAAGTACTGTTATTTATTTAAATTTTTATTAAACATATACTTTATTTGAAGAAAGAATATTTATCAAGTTTTTTGTCATTGTTTTTCTTCCTCAGAATGAAGTGCTGTATATATACATGTAGTAATAAATATAAAAATAAAAAAACAAAAGATGAAAAAAGGAGACGAAAACGATGATATAAGTGTCATGCTCCATAGTTTTTCAACAAACATAGAAAGAAAATCTATATGGGTCAGTAATATTTGGAAAATTAATGGATTTACTTCGGAACCAAAGAATTCATCATTTCTGTGTTCTGTAAGTTCTGTTTTGTAGTATGTTCTGTAAATTGTACTCTAACAAATACAAAATAGTTGTTTACTGATACATGTATATTTCTTCAGAAGCTAACTTTACTTTGACATTTTGACAGTTCGCCTACCCTACGGTGAAAGAAAATGGCGGCGATAATCGAGAATTTCGATTATCGACCGCACTTGTCGCCTCTCTGTTATCTAGGCCTCTAGTATACATAAGTATAACGTCATACGTCAGATGTCGTTATATGCAGTGTGAATCCTACATAAGTATATTACCTAGAATCTAGATTCTTATAGGCAGAGTTATTTGTACCTGCACTTGGATACTTTTTTATACGGTATCTTTTAAGTTAGATACGTAGGTACAAGGTATTTATTTATACTCAAGTAGCAAAGTGACGTCAAATGACGTCTTAATAACGTTTTGGTGACGTCTTTAACGTCAATAAGACGTCATAAAAACGTTGCCTTGCTACTAGGTATCCATAAAGCACAAAAACTTGCAGTATCATTGCAGAAACGTTGCAACATTGCAGATTGCACCGTAATATCGCTGCAACATTGTAGATATCAGGAATTGTAATATATAATACGTATTATGGCGGATTTTACAAATCTTGCAGCATTGTTATAGAAATATTAAAAACATTTTAGCTTTTGAGTATGAGCTTTGAGTACTGAACTGCTGTCACATATGGAAACATACGTTAATTACACGTTATATAATTATGAATTATTTCCATTAATTTAGGAATTATAATGTTCGTTGAAACATTTATTGTTGCCGTCGCGCGACAAGATTTTTCAAACTTTATAATCAACTCTTATAATTTTTTGGAATATTTAGATTTATAAAATTCTTTGAATATTGTAAAGAAAATGAAATAGAATGCGTGGAGTTTCTTATTATTTCCATTTCATCAGTTAAGAATATGCACAAAATAGGCATGTCCATATACGTAAACTTTAAAATATATATATATATCTGCATATAAAATATTTCCAATTAAGTATAAAATATAATAATTATATAAAACTATAAAATATAAAAAGAATAATTATTTAAAATATAAAAAAGACTAATTAATATAAAGTAGGGGAGACCGGGGCTAAATGGGCACTTTTTTCAATTGTAATTTTCAGTAACAAAGTAAACGATTTTAGTCAAATGATTATTAGCGTTTTATAGAGTAATATATTATAAGGCTACAAGATGGCAATAAAAAGTTTTGGTGTTTGCAACTTCATTTCATCCATATACACAAAAAATTACGTGATTCGGAAAATGAAATCTCAAAAATTACTTTTGACTAACAAAAATACGTTTGACTACCTAAACATAACAACGCGGCACCTAAACTAACCAAACTTCGTTGGTAAAGAAGACACACGAGATGCTATCTACATTATAAATTAGGAACTCATAAGATATATTTTGCCACTCAAAATTCAAACGCCAGCTTAGTCCCCGGTCTCCCCTATGTATTAATTAGTTCTTTTTCTGCATTTTTTTTATTTATATCACAAATTGTATTTCAAATTATATTCAATAATAATAAAAGAACTATTTTTAATAATAGTTGCAAATACATTGCACTACAACATTGTTACGACATTACAGCGCAATCTTGCTGAAGGTGGACATTTTTATGACGCTATGATATTGCAACAATGTTGCAAATACATTGCGCAATCTATGAGCAATATTACAATATTGCAATGAGATATATTTGCAATCATTTTGAAATTTTTCTATGCTGTATGGATATTGTACATGTTGTGTCATTATATTAGAAACTTAATTTTTCATTGTTATATATTATCGTTTTTTTCTAATTCTCAATTTTGCGCAAGCTCTTTTATTTGCTTCAACGCCTAGGTAATTTTAATTCTTAGTATTTAGTGAATGGCGACTAAAGATAACTTCATAGGAAGAGAGTGGCAAACTGACGCGGTTTCCCTGATTGGTTCCAAACATCAAAATCTATTACAGATGCAGGAAAAATCGCAATTCGTCATGTTAGTAAGTAGTATTGTTTTGTAGTCTCTAAATTTTTACCATTATAAGTTGGAAATTAAGTTGAATCTAAGTTTTTTTAGTCTCTACATTTTTACCACTATAAGTTGAAAATTAAACTGGAACTAAGTTTTTTTTATTTATTTATACCTTTATCAAAGGACTTATAAATTTTTATTTCAAATAAAGTCAAGAAAACAGCTTTAGAGATTCAAATAAAAACAAAAAGTAAGATATTTTACAAAATGCACGGATAGTCCATCGCGGTGATGTATATGTACGTTATAATTTGCATTATCCAAACATTTTTGTTAATAAGTAATAATTTTATATAAAATAAAACTTGTTTATATAGTTTATAAATAAAGTTTATAAATAAAGCTTGTTGTTTTCCTTTTTCCATTTTTCTCTTTTTTTTTTGTTAAAAGTACTTAAAAAGATATTTAAATTTTTCATGTACTTTTATGTTGTACCTGTATCTATACCAAAGTAATTTTTTAAAAATATATCTATAATTTTATATATATATATATATGTGTATACATAGAGGATGTCCCACTTAACTCGAGTATCTGAAACATTTCGCTTGGTTTCTATGATAGGAAAAAATGTTTCAGATGAAAGTGGAACGGTTTTATATTTGATTCATCTCATTATTCTGTTCATAAAAGTATTAAGGTAAGGTTGACAAAAAATTAAGTTTACTGGTTATTTGATATTTTATGTCAATATGTGAATAAAGTATAAAATATTTCGTAAACTATTGATTTTTTTATATCTCTGTCTCAATACTTTTATATGCAGAATAATTAGAGGTATCATATTACGTAAAAAAAATTATACAATTCCTTTTAAAAAAGTGGAGGTAATCTTCATATCTCTCTTTTCGAACTTTCCATTTAGATGAAAAACAACATGACCGAAATACATTCCTTTTGAACCGTTTCAGAGTTTCATTTAAAATATTTTTTTCCTATCATAAAAAGCAAGGCTGGGTAGTGCTAAGTTAAAAAGATAAAAGTTAAGTTAAAAAGTTAATTAATTTTAACTTAACTTAGTTACATTTTAAACTCTTAACTTTTTAACTTAATTTAGTTACATTTTATCGGTAACTATTAACTTTTAATTTGATTTTTTTGAAGTCAATCCTCAAACACAATGCGAAAGGATAATGAGTATATAATTTAATAATTTTATATTGTATAATCGTTACTTGTGAACAAAAATAACTAGATTCTTTAATAAATATGCTGTAAGAAAGGAAAAATACAAAAAATTATGTAAAATGGTCAAATTTTTTATTTTTCTTTTTTTTGGTTGTTCGTTCGGACCAAATTTAACTTTTAACTTTTCAATTACTTTTTTTATTAACTTAACTTTTAATTTAATTAATTTCATTATGGATTAACTTGTATTTTAATTAAGTTAAATTTTCAAGACTGTTAACTTCAACTTAACTTAGTTAAAACAGAAAGTTAACTTACCCAACCCTGATAAAAAGCAAGCGAGATGTTTCAAATGCTCGAGCTAGATGGGACAGCCTGTATATATAAAAGTGATAACGGAAAGTAAGACTTGAGATGCTACATATACAAATACAGGAAAATAGTCTTAACGTGTAGTCAGACACTGAATATTTACATCATGGGTACGTTTCGATTTTAAATAAATTATAAATAGGAATTAATGTTCCCCAATCTTCGTTTTAATGTTGACTTTCATCTTTCAAAGATAATATTTATTTACGTATTTATCCTCGACATACAATCTAAATTATCGACAGTCTCGCTTTTAATCTGTTTAAATACAGAAAAAAACATAATCTTTCCAACACACGTTTTATCATAATAACTTCTAATATATAATATATAATATGTTAATTTTTGCGGGATCTCACATCAAATATTCTTGTGGAATTATTATATCTGACAATTGTTAATAATTCTCTCATCTTTCTGCAGTAATTAAGTCACTTAAAATAAGTTAAACTAAATTAAATTATTATATATCAAAATGAATTAATACTTGATGTAAATCATTTCAGAATTTCTGTACTAAATTTACACCGAAATTCTTACACTGGGGATCATTCAATCCGTTAGTGATATTTTCATATTAGAATGAGTAAACTGTCAACATAATTTAAGAATCTTTGTAGCGCTGATGATGACTCCAAAGAGAGTCAAAACATTCGACTAAAGATATATAAGATGTATAAAATGAAAGATGTACAAGAAAGATGTATAAGAAATATTGCATCAAGCTACACTATAAATTTAATTACGTTAAAATACTTGTGTTACATTCTCATTTATCTCAAATTTATTAGTTAATATATATATGTGTATATATAAAACTAAATACTTTCCCCCCCACGCAATATCTATATTATACCTAAATTAGAGTTGGTGAAGACCGCGTTATTTGTAACGCCGTTATTTTTTTCGTTACTTTTTTTCGGTAATGATCGTTACTTTTTTCTGTACAGTAACGGTAACATCGTTATATTTTTGCAGTAACGATAACATTCAATAATAACAATTCAGTCATTACTTTTATCGTTACTTTAATTTTTATTTGATGGGTCGGATTGGATCATATTTCAATAATGCTGGTGCTGAATGATGTTTCGCTTTTGGGTCCCTAGAGATGTACCTATTTCTCGTTACCCAAATTGTGTCGTTATAACAAATGAGCGAAATACTTCAAATTTTTTTTAAATGCTTGTATAAGTATACAAAACATATTTACAATTAAAGTTTAAAAATAATATTTAATTTAAATTCGGTAATTGTTAAGTTTAGCTCCCGACGATTTTACCAGATTTGGTCGTTTTTTGTGCAAAAACGCGTCGAATGAGCCTAATTTTATCAACATCGTATGTGAGGGAGCTAACTCAATAATTTCCCGAAAAGTAACAAAAAAGTAACAATTCGTTACTTTTTCAAGTAACGGTAACAGTAACGCGTTACTTTTTTAAAATGAGTAACTAGTAACGGTAACGAGTTATTTTTAACACAAAGTAACTGTAACGGTAATGCATTATTTTTTTAAGATAACGTTCCCAACTCTGACCTAAATACCTTTCAAACGGTATTTAGTTCCAACACTGTTTGAAACAATATTTGTAATAAATAAATGGATATTATTTTTCGAATATCACACGATGATTTATGATCAACAATTATATCGAAACGATAAATCTTCCATAATTAGAATTAGTATAATTAAGAAATATACGAGAAAACCAACTGTGTTCTTACAATAGTTACAATAATAACTTTTTATAATGATTTATTAAACTTTTGAATTAAAGCTTTAAAAACTAAAACTTTCATTTTTATAGCTCATACCTGAATAAACGAATATAACTTTAATAATTGTTCCAGCGATGCACCTTGCGACGAACAATCCATATTACTCGATCTAATTCGCATATCTTGACTCCTTTTACCTTGACCCCATCCGGTAGAAAAATTTAATTGAGCTTCACCGTCCGCAACAAGGATTAAGAAAAGAAATGCTATACCGAGTAAACTCATAGACATCTTACAAAACCTTAAAAAAATATTATATATCATGTTACTATATAAATAACGAGAATTATATTGTATTTCCGTATATAAAATTATCGACTGTAAATCCCGGCTCTCGGAGATACTAATAAATTGAATTTATAATATGATAAATAAATGATCAATATTTATGTAGTTTTAAATATTTATTGGTTTTGTTACATTGTAAATATTTATAAATGTTTATAAATATTACGTTATTATCGTAATAATAAAATATTTTTGAATATTTATACGGCTAACACCGGCGTGGATGCGTTAAATATGCATGAGATGTCATGCGTATGTAAAATATGCTCAAAGCTACAAATATTTCTTGAAGGAAATTCCCATATATGTTCATAATAATGCAACCAAAAATACTAGCTATGTGCAACCTTCTATAATAGAAAGAAATTTATAAATTCTTTAAAAAGGAGTTTTAAAAAACTCCTTTAATTTTTAATGTTAATTCACAAATCTTTTCACGTAGTATAAAATTTAAATAAAATTTGATCTCCGATAAAATAAAATATGCTTCTAGAATCTTTTTTACTCTGTATTAATAACTGCGTTTGCTTCAAGAGCACCTGTGTTATTCGCGTATCGAATATTATATCGTCAATTCGATATAATCATTGTGAGCAAACTTGACTGCTTTTAACGAGTCAAAATAATCGCACTATTAATTCCCACAGGAAATAAGAAGAAAAAAAAAGATAAAGAAAAGAAAAAGAAAGACTCACATGGTAACACTTTTTTTTACAGATAGATATACAGAATGGTCTAATTTTTGTTAGAGAAACGCACACAATGCCGATGTGCAAGAGAACTCGTTTACGAGAGTCCTTAGATGCGGTTGCTGGTTTTATACATTACTGGACCCCTTACTTTAACGCGCGCGCACATTACAACATCTCGATACACTCGATCGCTATCCCAAGAGGGATAATGAAAATTCTGCGCCGGCGTTAAGCGTTTCATTTTGCAAGCTGTCCTGAAGATCATTTCTCGCGCGATTCTAGCACAGAAGTCGAGGCGCTAATTAAGATATAAGAGAGATTATGAACGATATGCTACAGAGATAAATTTAAAGATATAATTCGCGATCGCGCGATATTCTTTATAATTTTAGTTGTGACTTCATTACCCTGAAGCCATTGATTGTTTTCTGTGTGTACACACGTATACGTATAATTAGTATATGTATTGAACAATATTGATGAAATTATAAATTCTACCGTGTTATAGCTGCACCAGAGTGAATATTCAATATTTATTTGCTATATTTGCAGTAATATCAAAATATATGAAATTATATGATCTTGATATAATATCACCTTTTTTTAGCAATCTTCATACATAGAAGGGGTGTTTCATACAACTGAGAAAGTAATAATGTTATATAAAAGAAGATAAAATAAGTCAGAGGCGTAGAATATAAGATACAATATGTTATTTTAAAAAGAAAAATTATTTTGAAAATTAGAGAATTAATAATGTATAGAAAACTTTACAGAGTATTAAAGAAAGGGTTCGGGATTTTTCGCTATTTGCTTCATCGTTTTCTTTCCCTTAGTTTTATATATTTATTATTAAAAAAAGAAAAAAAAGAAAAAATTTTATTAAGACCGATTTACATATGCAATATATACATATAATCTTTAATATATTAATAATATTATCAAAGATTAATATATATATATATATATTGAAATAATATATTCAAAATATTTCAATTTTATGCAATTAAAGCGGAAGCTGGCTATTGATACAATCTCATATTACTTGATTAAACTTGTAAGAAAATTCTATTCATTAAAGTGAAATTGATCAAGGATTAATCTTGCAATTTTTTTAATTGTTTATCAAACTGTTGCAACAACAATTATTAAGATATAACTTATACATATATGTATATAAAGAGAAAAACATTTCAATTATGCACATTTTACATTAGCTTTATAATAGGAAACAAAAAGGCGTTACATCGATACGCATCTTGATGTAATAGCTAGTCTTTTTAGAGAAATGGTGTCTATTATTTTTTAAAATTATTGTGCACAGGTCATTGTGATGTGCATGATTATATCTAAAAAAGTAAACTGTACTGTTTGCGTCATTTGTTGCTAAATTAAATTAGTGCGTGCGACCATGACGCTCGAAGGCTTCCGACTAATTTGCTAACGAGGGACATAGCAGGATGTGAAGCCTCACCGATTATTTCATCAGTCAATATTACATATCCAACAAAGTATATTGAATACTCATGACGATATCGTCGCACGATCATATGTCGTAATGTTAACAAATTATTATTTTTTAAAATGTACTCTTATACATATAAAAAAAACTTTTTGTACAAGAGCACGACATTAGCGGAATGATTAAAATGGAAAATGTATATTCGAATTTCACTTTATTGCTACAAAAAAAATTACATATAACGAGCTAAAGATGAATCGAAGAAAAAGGATATTGGTGCGCTCATATGCGTTGCTGTCGATTATCACATATTAAATGGTTCATGATACTTCTTATTTTTCTAAATAATGTACAAGCTTGTGTACACGCGTACACATTATGTTTATCGCGCGTATATATATTTTTTTAAATATCTAATTATTTGAGTTTTTTACAGAACGTTTTTACTAATGTGTAGACATTGTAAGATCCAATTAAGATTTAATTATTAAGATTGTGTGTCAAAAAATTCCTGATTTTCCTCTATCTTAAAGGCAGTGTCGAGTAAACATTTATCAACAGCATTCATGAACTCTTTATATTTTATGACCTATTGTTTAACTCTGTGAATAATAGAAATGACAGTTACAGATGTATGAAACTGGTGAGGAATAATGATAATGCTAATTTTTTTACAGTGCCGTGTGAAGTGTTGTACAAATTTCACGGACAAGTCTCTTTAAGGATCTTTTAACAGGTGTGTATATAAGGAAAACGCCTGTTCGCAGAAAATTACAAAATTCTTATGTTCCTGCACACATAATGAGCTAATATTATTAATAGAATAATTAAAGAAAATCGAGCAATATTTAGCATTAGTTGTTGCATGCCTAATGGATTAATCTATTACAATTATTATTACCCTAATCTTTATCATATAAACTTTAAATTGAAGTAACATCTTTGAACAACACTTGCCAAATATCGCCTCAGTGTAAAAAAGAAATGCACGGCAGTGCGTAAGAGTTAAATTTTATGATATATAATTCTTGTTATGCATAGATCTGTTATATTAATTTTATCCATTTCTCATCTTAATCGTTGTTCAATGGCAAGTCCCTAAATAACTCATAGACATTCCTAAAGGAACGTTCGAAATCTGCTCTTCAACTCTTGAGATCACACGTATCCATCTAAATTACGTTTCTTATCATATACATATGTTATACCTATACGAATTACATTTCACGATATGTACTAATACTGCATGGTACGTTGAGTTCTTTCCAACATCCGATTAACAAAAAGCAAATACCGATGTTCACTTTCGGTATCTCTTGTAAATATTAAATTATGACTTTTGATTGTGATTGCTTTTATGAATAAAATATGCTATAACCAATTTTTTTTAAGTATAAAAACACCATTTAACATTTCTCGGTTATTTATGCACGAAATGAATGAATTATTGAGAATTTACCGAATATAATTTTATATATATATATATATATACAAACTTTAATAAAAAGGATTTGAACTTCCTAAAAGATATATTTCTCTGAAAAGATTCTCTAGAAGTATATACTTCCAGAGAATATCATAATATTCATTTTATTACAATAGACGATACGTATATGTATAGTAAACCTCATAAGTATCAAAATACATTCAACAAACGTTCCTTCACTGCATTTATCAATTTGTCAATGAATTATAAAAAATAATAAATATCAGCGCACAAATAACCGAGGAACATTTGTATGAAAATATGTCTCAACGTAACCACATGCAGATAATATACATATATATGTCACCTTTATTATATATAAGAACCTTAAAAATAACAGTATCCATGTATACCTAAATACTTGTCAATTGGCATGAAGATATAGCAAAAATGACGGCGTTAATAATATTATAGTAAAATCAATGAAGAATACGAAGAACAAATGTCCATGACAAAGATGTGCTATGTTGTCCCAAAGCTATTTGCGAGCCGTGATACACAATGATCTTATCAGTATGAGTTATTATTTATGGAATAAAGAGAAAGATTAATGTTCAAAGCGCGCTATGGCACTCGATCTTCATGCGTCATTTCTTCGTTTGTCTATACTTGGATACAGTTGCTTATAACGATAAAACCTTACTGGCGGAACAACATTACGAACAACCTTGCGATGAGAATAATCTTTTCGATTCTTATGAGAAGTATACACGTAATAAAGGATGAATATACCCAAAACTGTTTGCATTATACTAGTAGATTCAAACAAAATATTGCAACAGATTGCTAGCGGAAATCGAGCACATTTATCATTTTATAACCATTTAAATAGTATGTTTATGTATCATTTTCCTACAGTCAATCTGCTTATATTCTGTTAATTTTGTTATATTACTGTTGCCATTTTGCCAATAAAATTTGTAGTAAACACTTCGACTTGGCTGCCTGCGTATATATATGTACGTGCATATATACAATATACAATATGCTTACATATATATGCATAATTATACATGCATGCATGCATGCACGCATGCACGCACACATATATTTTTATTTTGCAATATATATTGGATATAACAATATGCATGCAATATTGTATGCGTTCATCTTGATAATAGTGATGATATCGTTACGCTTGTGGCATCATACATCATATGTATACTAATTCTTTCCCATTCATACATATGTAATTATTATAATGTCATATAAATTAAAAAAACAGAAGAGTAGCGCTATATATTTTTTATTCTCATAAGAAACTTGTCCATTCTTTTACAATTACCTCATTGATCGCTTGATATTCAGTTTTCTTTTATATCTATATATATATATCTCTCTTTTTATATATATATATTTTTTTACATAATATACGTATAAAAAATAGTCTAGAAACCTTGTAACTTGATGATTACCAGACTCAAGAATGCAGATCTATTGACAAAAATTATGTTCTCGTTGTAGACTTGATTACGAAATCGTGATGTTCTTGACGTTTCATGAACTGATGTTATTTGATTACAATCTGTTTGCTACTGGAATGTAATGTAATATTTAAAGCTAATAACGCATATACAGGCGAGTGTTTTCTTGAATCTGGAAGTCAGTATATTTTATTACGAAGTTACTCAAGTTTTCATAGACGGCGAGTTCTAAAGTCAGTCACATAGCATTTCGTTGCTATTACATAATTATAAAAAAAATATTAACAAAAATAGACAGTAGCTCTTTTTCTTGTCCTAACTTGATGAATGAATAATTTAAAAAATTGACACTTTACCAACCATAGCAATATCTTTTTAATTTAAAAAAAGAAAAAAGAAACTGTATAATACAACTTGTACATGACATTTCTACCTTCTGATGACTAAAAAAGCTTTTGACGACTAAAAATCAAAGAAGAACTTGAAAGAAAAAAAAAGAACAGGTTTATATTAATACAATTAGCTTTATCATGTGGATTTTCTTTGATTTTTATTTTGAAAAACTTAATAAAAATTTTGGTAGTTTTTTTTATTGTTTAGTATATTATTCTCCAATAATAATTTCCGAACAAAATAATCAGCGAAGTATTAAGTCGTTTACATAATACAATATTTATGCCAGTATGTTAAAAATACCAGGACGGTATTTCTAACAAATGGAGCATCGCTTATTGTAATTTGTCAAAATGCAAATG